AATTTAATGTTACTTTATATGTATAATTGTTTGGAAATAATATACCAAAGAGAAATAATTTGCAGTGGTTTTTTTCAAATTAATTTTCGTTATATATATATATATATATATATATATATATATATATATATATATATATATATATATATATATATAAATCTTTCGTGCTGAAGCCCCTCCTCCAAAATTAAATCTTGATTTGGTAATGTACATACTATTATTAGAGCATAAGTTCGTATGTAATAATTTTCAACTTTAATTCTATGTGTATTAAAGGTGATATTTTGTAGTCTGCCACTGATATAAGTAGTCTGCTACTATGGAAAATAGAAGATGAAAATAAAATATGAAATTATTCTAATTCTGAAAGCATAAAGAAATATTGAGTTTTTATGCACCCTTGTAAAACAATATATAAATTTTTACATAAGACCTTTTGAACTAACAGTATTGAAATTCATGTTCATTCATTCATTCATTCATGTATGGCACAACATCCCGTCACCGAGACTGGGCCTCCTCCAAGAGCCTCCGCCAGTTGGCTCTATCTTCTGCTGCAGCTCTCCAGTTCCGCACACCAAGCAGGGTTCTCGCATCATAGGCCACGTTGTCCAACCATCTCGTCCTCGGCCTTCCTACCCGTCTTACGAGGTGCAGCTCCTCCATCATTATTTTTTTTGGTATTTCAAGGGTGCTCATTCTGGCCACATGCCCTGCCCACCTTAGTCTGGCCAGTTTAATATACGTGGCTACGTCGATGTCTGCATAGAGAGAACTGAGCTCCCTATTTTTTCTTTTCCTCCAGACATCACCCTCCTTTACTGGACCATAAATCCTTCTGAGGACTCCTCGCTCAAAGACACTCAGCTTCATCTCATCCCTTTTGGTCATCGTCCAAGCCTCTGAGCCATATGTCAAAACAGGCCGAACAAGGGTCTTGTATATGATCAGCTTGGTCTTCTTTGAGAGGTACCTACTTCTTAAGTGTCGGCCAAGTCCAAAGACACATCTATTGGCAGCCGTGATCCTTCTTTGTATTTCTTGAGCCATGTCATTCTTGCTATTGATTTCAGACCCAAGGTATATGAAACTTTTCACTCTCTCAAACTTAAAAGAACCTACCTCAAATGGAGAGTTCAGATCAACCTCACCGCCAACTCTCATATACTTAGTTTTCCTCTCGTTGACTTCTAGACCAAGTGGTCTTGCAGCTGCTTCAAGGCTTATAAACGCTTCTCTGAGAGCCCGTTCAGACCTACCTACTATGTCAATATCATCAGCAAAACCAAGAAGCTGTGTCAGGCGATTGAAGATTATATCTTTGGTCTGAATACCGGAGTCTCTTACAGCTTTCTCCTCTGCCAAATTGAACAATAGACAGGCGAGGGCATCCCCTTGCCTAACCCCACTGCTCACTTTAAACTCTTCGGAGTCGTCAGAACCGACGCGTATTCTGCATCTCGAGCTGTCCATGGTCATCTTGATTAGGCGTACGAGCTTCTGAGGGATGCTTAGCTCCTCCAAGGCACAGTATAGTTGCGTTCTATCAACGCTGTCGTATGCTGCTTTAAAGTCCAGGAATAAATGGTGGGTGACTACCTTACGCTCCATAGTCTTTTCTAGGATCATCCTCAGAGAGAACAGTTGATCAGTCGTTGAGCGTCCTCTTCGAAATCCAGCCTGATATTTCCCCAGTTCCTTTTCAGAATACGGGAGGATCCTCTCAAAAAGAATGTTAGAGAGCAGCTTATAAGCACACGAAAGGAGTGAGATTCCTCGATAGTTAGCGCATTCTGTTTGATCTCCTTTCTTATGTATTGGGCAGATAATGGCTGTTGCCCATTCCGTAGGCATAGCTTCCTTCTCCCAGATGGTCAGCATTAAATCATGCAGAGCTTTCTTGAGTTCTTCACCTCCACATTTCAACAGCTCTGACTGGATTCCGTCCGGGCCTGGCGCCTTTCCATTTTTCAATTTCCTTAGGGCGTTTTCCATTTCCTCCTCATCCGGGGGTTCAATAGAATTCAGGGAGTCTTCCTTCATTACACCTACTTCTCCAGGCACCGTTCCTCTGTTTAATGCGCCTTTGAAATGTTGTACCCATCTCCTTAGTACGTCATCTTTGTGGCTTAAAAGAGTTCCATTTGTGTCTTTGCATGCCGTCACTCTGGGCCTAAAAGCTGCCCTACCCTCGTTTATTCTCTGAAAGAACAGGCGACTTTCATTTTGGCCTCGCAATGCCTCTGTGTCCTCCATGTTCCTATTTTCCCAAGCTCTTCTCTTTCCGCGGAATAATCTCTTCTCTTCGCGTCTTTTTCTTCTATATGTTTCTTGGGAGAGCCTTGTGGGACGCTGAACCTTCTTTCTGTAGGCTTCATTTTTCACTTTTACTGCTTGAAGGCACTCAGCATCAAACCATGGGGGCCTTCTAGATTTAGTCTCGTAGCCAAGAGCTTCTTCTGCTGCCTGTTTCATTGCGTTGCTGCATCTCTTCCACTGTTCATCGACCATAGAGCTGTCATTAATTACTTCTTCGTTAAGTTTCGTCTCCACAGCTTGTTGATACGAATATTGGTGGTCTGAGTCCTTAAGTTTAACCACATCAATCTTCTTCTTTGGTCGTTGGTAGTGGTTTTTAATCAGCGAAATTCGTGATCTGACCTCGGCAATGCTCAAATAGTGATCCGTGTCCATATTTGCACCTCTATAAGATCTTGCATTTATCATGTTGGACTTGTGACGGGCACTAATGAGTACATGGTCTATTTGTGATGCTGTTTGCCCATTTGGAGAGATCCATGTTGCTTTGTGGATATTCTTTCGAGGAAAAAGAGTAGTTCCAACAACCAGTCCGTGCAATGTAGCAAAGTTCACCATCCGTAGCCCATTATCATTACTGGTCTCATGCAAGTTCATGTTCAGTATGCATTTTTTTTTATTTATTTATTTTTTTATAAAGCATAATCAAGTATGGAATATTCAAATACGACCCTCTGTTGTTGAATGTTGAAGGGTAACTGTAATCGGCTCTTCCGATTCTGCTTCTCTCAGAGACTTTATTCTCATACGAAAAATTGTATACCTTGTAATATACAACGGAAACGGTGAGGAAGCTATACTGACCTTACTTGGCAGACGTTTTTTTTAAATATATAGGAAAATCTTTTAAGTGGACACAACAGATTTTTAATGAAAATCACTGGGAACAATATAAAAATTGTCTTTACTCTACAACTCTTTCATTCCATATAATCGGAGGGATGGAATAGGGTTATCACTATCTTTCTTTATTCTTAATTTTATTGATTTAGTTGTTCTTTACAATGATTATGTCTATAAAACATCTAATTGTAGTTATTTTGTGGCGTTTTTCTAAAATTTAAAATACCATATTAATAAATAGCAATAAGCTGATAGTTAACTGCAAGACTCTTGCGCAAGACCAAGGCGGTCTTGGTCTTGGTCTTGCGTTTGGGCAACACTGATCCTGGGACAGGTGCAGGATTTCAAATATCTGGGTAGAAGCATCAAAGAAAGTGGATATATCGATGGAGTGGTGTCGCAAAGGCTGGGAGAAGCTGCAAGAATGTTCCACTCAATCCGGAAAGATTTCCTCAACAAAAGAGAAGTGACGAAGAAAACAAAGATATCCGTCTACAAGTCAACGTTCCTGCCCATCCTCTCTTACTCCTCCGAATCCATGGACCCTTACCTCAAAACACAAGGGGCAGATCCAGACAATTATTATTCCAAGGGATATTCTTATCCCTGAATATGAATGCAAATTTAAATAATAAGGATATTTTGGTCGTGATAAAATAGTTACGTGGCCTACTTATAATCCTTATCTCAACCAGCTAGTCGACTTTTCTTATTTTCATAATCGATTTTAGTTTATAATAATAATAAAAAGGCTTAGCGAACCCGAAGGTTCGATGCCGACACCACCAATCGCTTGTTACACACCTCCCTCCACCGTTCGCCGTCCAAACCCAGTCCCTTCAGATCGGCTTTAATTCAATCTTCCCACCTTCGCTTCGGTCTACCCCTCGGACGCTTACCATTCGGCAAAGCAAATATTAACCTTTTAGGAATTCTTTCGTTACTAAGCCCAACAACTTTACAAGCCCATTTGATTCGCCGCGATGAAATTATATCAATTATATTACCCGAATACAGCTCACGCAATTCAGCGTTGTGTAACCGTCTGAACTCTCCGGTTAACTCATCCTTCTTCGGTCCGAATATTCTACGCAATACTTTATTTTCAAAAACCTTAAGACGCTGCTCATCCCTTAATGTAAGCGGCCAAGTTTCGCATCCATAAAGAACTGTAGGCAAGATAATTGTTTTATAGATTCTAATTTTTAAGTTCCGGGACAAGAGGCGCGAACTTAGTAGCTTTGTCACAGAAAAATAACAAGGATTTCCCGCCTTCAGTCTAACCTTAAATTTATCTACCTGTTCAAACATATTACCATCTATATCGATGTCACCAGTAGTATCGCCATTTTTGCAGCTAACCATATATTTTGTTTTATCCACGTTTATTTCGAGTCCTAGTTCTTTCATTAACGTTGTCGTATTTAGTTTTATAGTTTCAACGTCTTCGCTTAACAGTACCAGATCATCAGCATAGCCCAGCACGGGTATGCGATTTTAGTTTACATATTTTATTAATTCATGTAGCTAATATGTTATCAATTATATATTTTTTTACTTCAAATCATTTGGGGAGGGGGGGAACGATATTCTCGCTCCCTCAACATTTCTATTGGGGGAGGGAGGGGCGATCACTTCCTCGCCTCCTCGAAGTATATGATCGAAATTTATTTATTTTTAAAAAATTTATTTCATCAATGAACTACTTACCAAGAAAAAGCTTATCTTATTTATTTAATGCTAGAAACTAGATTGTACATTTCATAATAATAATATTTATACGTTTGAAATAATATTTAATAAAATTTATTTTTTAAATATTGAGAATAGAATTTTACCGCTGATATAAGTATGAATATCATGAGTTGTAATATATTTAACATCTTCCCTTCTTTCCGCTAACAGTTCTTATGGTAAATCTGAAAGAAAAAAAATTGAATTGATAAACATTAAATTACACAATTGTAAGTCACAAATTTAAAATCAATTAATTTAACCATTTTTTAATTTTTTGGTTTATTTTAATGGATTATGGTGATGCTACCTCTTTCTATGATAGTTTTATACATACATGCTTGAGTATAAATAAATATATCACAAGGAGTTGATCGGAAGTTGCGGTCAAATAAATACTAAATTATAGAAATAATATGAGAAGGAGTTAGTCGAGGGTGCGGTTAAATAAATTAAAAAAATTAAAATATATAAATAATTTTAATTTTTGCCGACGTTTTGACCCACTTTGCAGGTCGTCTTCAGGGCGTAGGATGTGGCACTGCGGGAGGCAGTTGAAACACTGTATCACAGCAGTGTTTCAACTGCCTCCCGCAGTGCCACATCCTACGCCCTGAAGACGACCTGCAAAGTGGGTCAAAACGTCGGCAAAAATTAAAATTATTTATATATTTTATTTATTTTAATTTATTTGACCGCACCCTCGACTAACTCCTTCTCATATTATATCAACGGTCAACCATCTCTACATCATTATAGAAATAATATTATTTAATTATTATGCCGACATTTCGACCCACCTATGTCAACAGTTTCTGTTTACTTTTAACTTACACAGTATATTCTCCTTGTTTTTCTATTTTTATTCATACTGATTTTCTATTTTTGTTTGTATCTTCTATATATATATATATATAATACTTGATATTCTAACTACAATGTCACCCACCATATCTCTGATATCATCTTATTATTTCTTTATCAGACAATTGTTTCTTATTTAATATCTACTTATTATTTATTTATTTTATTTTCACCATGTACCTTTTATATTTTGTATCTTTTGTAACCTTGATGAAGACCTGAGAGGTGGATCGAAACGTCGGCATAATAATTAAATAATACTATTTCTATAATTTAGTATTTATTATAGTATTATATTATAATATCCGTTATATTGGCATGAGAAGATATTGGAGTATACAAGGTATAAAGGTATACTTCTGTGGTAGTTTCCTTCACAACGTCAGGAAAATTTAAACAAGCATGTGAAAATTTTAATCAGAAGTAGCATCTGCGAGAGTCATAGACATACTAAAAAAAGGGAAAAGTGACTCCTGGAAAAGTAAAAAAGTGTTATTTGACTCAATGGTCTCATCAACATTGCTTAATGCTTCTGAAGTATGGAGCTCCAATTATCTTGAGGCAATCGAAACGGTCCAACTTAAATATTTAAAGCAACTGGTTGGCCCAGAAATACCCCAAACTATATAGACCGCCTCGAAACAGGAAGACAACAATTAAGAATGAAAGTGATAAAAAAAAAAATGATAAATCTATGGACCAAGCTCGAGTTCATGCCAGAAGAGCGACTCCCAAAACTCTCTTTTAATAGACTTAAAACATTAGATAAGGATAAGCCTGACATAGACTTCAATTGGGTGTCTCAATTTAGAGCAATAGCCGAGCTTAATGCCTTTGCAGAAGAGCTTTCTGTTCACCACACAAACGGACTTCTTCGATACAAAGACGACATCCTTGAAAAAGCACACAACTATTATTTCTCAACCGACATACAAAGAACTTTAAACTCAACTAACTACCCTTTATACAGAATGCTATGCAGTTACAATTCTTCCGATCCTTAAACGTACCTTACATTCAAAGTCGATATAAAGAAATTGAGATGTGTTAGTCAATTAAGAGTTGCAAACCCAGAACATATCAGAATCTATGCAAAAACCACACTTTTTTCGTTTGAGTCTCAAGAAACCTGTATATCATGCAGTCAATTTATCTACAATAGTCTACATCACATTCTCCTTCACTGCCCAGCATACAATGAATATAGACAAAAATTCCTCCATAACTTCATCTCAGAATCTTTTGATAAACACAACATCGAAACTATATTGAATATCGATTGTATAGACAAAGTAAACAAAGTTTACTATTATATGATGGGAGTGCACAAAGTTCATACACAAAATTGTTATCATAGCTCGTGTTCTATTAAATGTTTGTTTTTAATTTATCTTAATAATATAGTTTAGTAATATTATGTTTATATATATAAATATTTTTATTTTTTATTGTTCTATCATAGTAACAGGTTCATTTAACTATTATTACGCAGTAATCGTTTTATGTTTTTAATTTTTATTGTTTTTCATGTTTTGTAAAACTCATTCTAAACGTAAAATATTGTAAAGTTTATTAACATTTAAATGATATGCATGTAACGTGCAAAACTATAATATTCTACAATAGGCTCTATTTGTATGGCGAGCCCCCAAAAACAAATAAAAATTCCTATCTATCTATCTATCTATCTATTTATCTATATTAGTATTTATTTGACCGCACCCCCTGATCAACTCCTTTTGATATTATATCACGGTCAACTATCTCTACATCATTATAAATAAATATATTCAAGGCCTGGTATTAAATTATTTCTATTTTACTTTTTCATTTTGGTTTAAAATTTTCAATAATGAACCATTCAATGTGAACCAAAAACTTGAGGTCTTACGTTTCAGTATACGTAGAATTCGAAAAACGAATACAAACGTTATTGTCCGTCCGCCGTCCGCGCATTGTCTCCGAAACTACTGGACCGATTTTTTTCAAATTTTGATATAAAATCAAAGGTCACCCGAGGATGATCCTCCTTCATCGACATTACTCTCCGCCTTTAACTTTCAAAATGGCGGCCGAAAAACCTGCGTTGCTATAGACTGTATCTCCTAAACGAATGTACAGATTTCAATGAAACTTCTCTAAAGTCATTTTTTCGACGCCCTTTAAATTTATCTATATAACATACTTCAACGAAAATAAGCTGGAAAAAAGTTACGAGGGATGGTAAAATTAAATTCCCAATAACTCGAAAAGTTTTTACATTTTTGCTGATATTTTATATAGTTTTTTCAAGTTCACGAAATTTCCTAAAAAACAAAAAAAAAATCGGTAAAATCGGACAATTAGGAGCAAAGATATGGTCTTCGGTTTTTTTTATATGTTCTACTCCAAATGTGATATCTTTGGTTTGGTTTTTAAATTTTAAATGTGTTACTGAACTAATGCTATTTTTTTTGGCATATTACCAATGATTAAAGAAAAATAGTTTAATCCAATAATTGGAATCACCTTTTGGTTTTTTTTTCTTTGTAACTCGGAAGGTAATGTTACTTTAGATGTATAATTGTTTGGAGGTAATAAACCATTGTGAAATAATTTGCAGCGTTTTTAAATTATGATATATTATGATAAGTCAAAGTAAAATTTACTAGAACAATTTATAAACAATTACAATAGCATATATTGTAAATGTTACTATTCATGTAAATAAAATTGTAAATATCATTACATTGTAAATATAAAACAAAAAAATATTTTATATTCAATTATAAGCGTTATTGAAAATTTTATTACCTTGTAAATATAGAACAAAAAACATTAGATCTCATATTAATATTATCATATTATTAATCTCGTATTGTTGATGTTTTCACTTCTGTTGAGGCGGTCTAAAGCAAACACCGTTTTTTTGTTTATGATTTTTTCTGTTTTACCCAGATTACTAATTATATGTGCGTAATGCCTATTCAGCTAATTTGGTTTATCATTTTCAATAATGAACCATTGTGATTGTCCAAAAATTAAAAGACTTAATCCGCTCTCAAAATTTGAGGTCTCACGTTTCAGGATACGTTGAACATTTTTTTGTTCGTCCGCGTCCGCCGTCCGTCGTCCGCGCATTTTCTCCGAAACGACAGGACCGATTTTTTTCAAATTTTGATATAAACCCGAGGATGATCCTCCTTCATCGACATTACTTTCAAAATGGCGGCTGAAATATCTGCGTTGCAATTGACTGTAGCGCATAAACGAATGTACCGATTTCAATGAAACTTGGCTAAAGTCATTTTCTCGAAGCCCTTTAAATTTATCTATACAATATACTTTAGAGAAAAGAAGCTGGAAAAAAAGTTACGAGGGATGGTAAAATGAAATTCCAAATAACTCAAAAAGTATACACTTCTTGTGTATGGTATACACTCAATATTGTATATATACAATATGGTTTTTTAAATGTTTACAGAATTTCATATAAAAAAAAAATATCGTTACTATCGGACAATTAGGAGCAAAGATATGGTCTCTAGTTTTTTTTATATGTTGTACTGCAAATGTTATATCCTTTGTTTTGGTTTTTAAATGTTTAATGTGTCACCTGAAATATATTTTAAGAACATTAAAATTCCAACATCAGACGTAATTAGGTATTTAGGTTTTTACCTGGACAAAAGACTTACTTGGAGGACTCACATCAGACAAAAACGAATAGAATTAAACAGTTTTTTATCCAGATTACTTGACAGACGTTCAAAATTATCTTCAACTAACAAACTAACCCTTTATGAAGTTTTATTTATACCTATTTGGACTTCGGCATAGAACTGTGGGGTTCTGCTAAGACTTCCAACATTAAAAAAGTTCAGTCCTTTCAGTCCAAAGTGTTGCGAAGGATAGTTGACGCACCGTTTTATGTCGCAAATGATACACTACATAAAGACTTAAACGTACCTACAATTTTAGATACTGCAAAAGAGAAATACAATAACTTTCACCAAAGACTGACGTACAACATGAATCCCCTGACAGAAATTCTTCATCGTTCAAGAAACCCGTACAGCCCACTACGACGATTACGTAGGCGTTGGCCAAGATACCTGATTTATATCCCGGAAGTGATGGGAAGCTATGAAACCGCCAAAAAATTTGATCATTGCAAAGAAATTTGTAGATTGCAAATTTAATCAAATGTTCTACAGTTTTGTTTCGTTAATAAATAAATAATGTGTTACTGAAGTAATGCTTTTTTTTTTTTTTAGCACATTACTAATGATTAAAAAAAATTTTTTTGTACAATAATTGGAATCACCTTTTATTTATTTTT